TAAGTATTTTATTTAGCATGTTACTGTTTAATGTTACTATTTTTTTGTTGAGCATATACATATATATATATGAATGATAGAAAAATAATTTTAATACTAGCACAATTTCCAAGTTATGAGTTATTTTATTTGAAAACATTAAAACTAATAATGATAAATAATATTTATGGTAAGGGTAATTATGGAATATATTTCAAAAATTTTTTGAAATGTTTTAAAATGTGTATTTGTTGACAACTATTTGATTTAAGTTTTTCTAAATCTTTTGGTGTGTTTATAGTTGTATTCCACTCACTCACTTCCATAGAAAATTTATATTCATTATTTTTTGTGGTGAAAATATATAAAATTGATTCATTTTTAGTCTTAATATAAATTTTTAGCCCATATAATTTATACTTAAATTGTCTGTGTTATCAAAGTTTTGTACTTCGTGTGTGCACATTGCTAATGGATAAAGAATGATTATTTGCTCATATATATTTTATTATTAAATTATGTGCTAAAAACTTAAATTGATAAAATTTTATTTACAATATGGAAGTCCTATCCCACCTAGACCAAATTGGCATACGAGGGATTTCATAGAGGTAGTTGATGATTGCAACCTGGTGGACCTAGGTTTCCAAGGTTATCCATTCATATGGCAGAATGGGATCACAGTCGCTTTCTTTACTAAGGCAAGGTTCGATAGGATTTTGGGGTTTTGAATTTTGGATTAGAAAGTGCTAAAAATATGAATCTAAAAGATAAAGTGAATGATAGGGTAAAACGCTAACTAAGTTGATCTATTAAGACAATTCGCGCCTTTTATGGAAGAAACACTACGTAGAAGATAGCAGCGCGTCGTTCCCAAAATACAACAATCTAGCTTAATTGACTGTTATTTCACTCAAATCTGCACAATCAAATGAAACATAAGCTTCACAAGAGACACTTTTCTTTATTGCCCAAAAACTAATGCAGTAAGAAATATTATAGTAGATATGGAAGTATACCATAAAAATATGTCTTTTGATATTCTGTATTTAATCAGATCATCGAGTCTCAAGATATTACTTAACTCAATAGCTAAGTAGCACTAACATATATATATATACACAAATACTTTTAAAAATTTTGTCAAGGTGGGATTTAGTTTTTCACATAAAACTGATCTTTTGTTAAAATAATCTATTTTTTTTAGAGGGTAAGAGACTTAAACTCTTGACCTAAAAAAGACAAAACTTTTAAAAAAGAGTAAACAATGCAAATGCCCCTCGAACTTTAGTATCTATTTTAAATTGACAACTGAACATTCAATTGTACCATTTTAGCCTCTATACTTTTTTATATGTACCAATAAACCCGTTCTGTCTATTTCAAACATTAAAACTAAAGGAAACAGGAAAACTGCGCGGAGTTAAGAGCATAATGGACATTATACTCAATAACGTCTTCTTATTTACCTCCTCGAGAATGCCATTTCGTAGAGTTAATTGGAGGTTAACAGAGCTAGAATAGCCCACCTACTAGCTACAGATGACAGAGGAAACAGTGAGAACCTCCGATCTGTTCATTTTAGTACACAACATATATTGACAACAGAAGAACTATTAGGAAACAGAGACCAAGGACAACTTAGCTAACGGAGGGGGATAAAAACACAAAATTTTCATACTCTAGCAACCATAAGGAGACGTATGAATAGGGTAGAAGGCCTGTTCAATGACCAAGAAAACTGGGGGTCACAGATAAGGAGTAACTTGAGAAAATGACTGTGCAATATCTTTTGAGTTTATTTAGTTTTGATCTACCATCAAAAGAATCCATGGAGTTGGTGCTTGATCTGTGTGGATTGAAAAGTTACTCTAGTAAAGAACCAATCTTTGATCAGAGAATTCCAACCTGGGGGGACTATTTTTTGAAGAATAAGAAGAATGGCAAGGGACATATCTCTCTCAAACTGGATATGAGTAAGGCTTACGATTGTGTAAAATGTTGTTTGATGATAGATGTATTAGAATTGTCATGAATTGTGTGTGCAATGTCTCTTACTCTCTTGTTTGAAATGGGGAACAGATGGGGTACTTCAAATTTCAGTGAGGGATTCGATAAGGTGACCCACTATTGCCTTATTTGTTCTTGTTATCTTTGGTAGAATTAACGGTTCTACTTGAGGAATGGGGACATAAGGGACAGATGGAGGGCATTTCAATTGGACACGATAATCCATCCTTTTTTGCATTTGCTTTTTGTGGATGGTAGTAGCCTATTTGCATGAACTAATGTGGAAAGTGCTGAGGCCATAATGACCCATCTCAAAATATATAAGAAGGCGCCAGGGCAAAGTGTGAATCTAGTCAAATCAGCACTAGTTTTTAGTCCCAATGTGTTTACAACCATTAAGGAGGCAGTTGCAGTCATTGATATATTACTAGTCTCGGTTAGTTACTGTAGGCCATGACAAATATTTGGGGCAACCATCTATCACTAGGAGATCCAAATACTTTCCTTCTTCTTCATTCATGGAGGCCCAACTGAGTAACAAACCATTTTATACCTAGCATAGTAATAGTGGGAGACAGGAAGGTGTTGTTAGCTGGAACGAGGTGGAGGATTGGGAATGGGGAAAGGGGAAAGGGTGAGGGTGAAGCTAGACAAGTGGATCCCTTGTCTTACCTCTTTTCAGGTTATCAATCTTCTTTAAGGATTGCTGGAGAACATGTTGGTGAGTGCCTTCATTGATAAAAAGAGGAAATGTGGGGACTTATGAATAGTTGATGCTTCAGAATGCCTTTATTCACAGCAGCTGAGCCTTGTACTAGTATTGGCTTGGCCTTAGTAGATAATGGAATTCTCTATCTCCTACTTGGGTCAATACAATACTGCTAAGGATTATATGCCTTTTATGGTGTATAACTCTGTATACAAATGATCAGTTCATCCATTTGGAGTCTGTTAAAGTTAATTTTGATTTTAGCCAATTAATTAATAGTATGTTTGGTATGAAAGCTAAAAAAATAAGTACGATGAAAAAGTGGAAGGAATATATTTTTTATCCTCAAATAAAAAAAAAGATATTTTTCTTCCTTTTTATTTGGTACGAGGGATAAAAAAGTGGGTGGATAGATTTTTCATTAGTTTTTTTGAAGTGTAGAAACAAAATTATAAAAAATATTATAAATCAAAATACCAGAAAAGCCCTTATTTGCAAATATTGTATTGTAAAACTGGGGTGGGAAAAAAAAATGCAAGGAAACAAGTGAAATGCATGCACCAATCCCTTATTATAATATGTGGGCCCCACCTTTATCCTTCGTTTTTTTGGATTGTGTTTAGGTTATCATAGAGGAGTGGAATGGGCAAAAAAACAGGCGTGAGAAAGAAGATTAACTATGAAGGGCAAAAAGATAATTTTGTAATTCCTGACACCAACTTCCTCACTTTTCCATCCATTTTTGCCAAAAATCGGAGTAATTAAAAATGGTGGCCCGGGTATATTGCTTTTCCTCCCATTTTTCCTTCTAACCAAACAAAAGAAAATGCCTTTTCCCTCGTACCAAATAGCCCATAAAAGAATTGCTTGTTCTAGGTAGATTAGAGGCCTGGGGTGCATTTACTGCCACTAAATTTACAATATATCTGGGCTATCGAGATCACGTATTGGAAGGTGATTCTAAATTAATTTTTTTTAAGGAAATTTAGAAGTTAGTACGAAAATTTAAACTTAATTAACCTAAATTTAAGAAAACTTATTTGACCCTATATACATATTTTTAGAAAAGGACTAAAAGGTCTTCATTATTTCATTACTCTCTCTCTCTCTCTCTCCACTGATAATTTATTTTCTTTGCAAATATGTAATGATTTAATTTGATTTTTTTTATCTCTCTCACGTATTTTCTCTCTGACTCACCCTTTCTCCTTATCCTCTCTCCTTATATCGATGTTACAACAACACAATTAAATCAACTAGTTACAATTATCATATAATACATCAAACAGTTATTTATGTGTTATGATAAAATCAAACAGTTACACCAAATAATTATATAAAATTACAAAATCAACTCAATTTGTCATTTAGTTGTTTATATAAACCAAAGAATTATATTATTTAACATCACGATAGAGTTTACCATTATACTAAAATTGGTATATATAAATGGTGTTACTATGTCGTGATAATAAATTGTATAACTCTTTGGTTTATGTACACAACTTAATTACAAATTGGATTGATGTCATAATTTTGTATAATTATTTGGTTTATTAGAACACATGAGTAATTATAACTAATTGGCTTATGGTGTAATTGTATTGTTGTAACATTAATATAAAAAGTGAGAATAAGGAGTGAATAATGGTGAGAGAGAGAAAATAAGGAAGAGAGAGATGAAAAATCAAATCAAATTAAATTATTACATATTTGAAAAGAAAAAAAAATTATCAAGAGGAGAGAGAAAAAATAGGAGAGAGATAGAGTAACGAAGAGAGAGATACAATGAAAAAAAAGGAGAAAGTGAGAAAATAATGGAAAGAGAGTAACAGCGTGAGAAATAGGGAGGAGAAAGAGAGTAAAAGAATAAGAATTATACATAATTTAAAGAAAGATAAGTAAGTAATATAAATAAAAGATTATTTGAATTGTGTATTTAATTACAAGATGTTTTAATAAAAGTCAAGAGTAAAAAACTTATCCATACATTTTTTATCAAATAAATCTAAAAAAATATACCCACATTTAAAAAATCCATTTTTTTATAAAAATTTCTTTTATTATTATTTACTAAAGGGATCGTCGAGACCACAAACAAGAGGCAAAAAATCTATAAGGTGGGTCATTTCTTCAATCAAATATACAATTTAGCAGACAAATTATCCAATTTCTCAACATCTTGGATCTGGTAAATATAGTTAGTTGCTCACAGCATGCTGCTTTAATCCTTTGATCAATCGGAGTATTATCGTTTCTTATAAAGAAAAAAAAAATATATGGAAGGCTTATATATTGTGAACTCGATTGAAAGAAAAAGAGATGTTATCGTGCGATTGATACCCCTACAGAAAAAAGAGATCTTACTGTGAACTGAAGTGACACATTTCAAATATGACAAGCTTCGAAATAACACAATTTAGACATAATAGGATATGCACTGATTTGATGAGGAACAACATAGTTACAATGTTGTCCGTGTGATCCTGATCATCGTACCTGTATATCGCTAGAATGGTTTCTTCCACAGGAAAAATCACATGAAACACGCGCCTGGGAGAGAGAGAGAGAGAGAGGAAAAGGGTTTACTTCAAGCAAAGATAAATTTTTCTGTAGATGTTTCTCATTCTGTTCAAAACAAAATATAAGAAAATTCCAAAAAAGATCAAAACCATCTTTTTTTTATGGATAATTTCTTATCTCATTAAAGCTAAGAAACCTTTAATCAATCAGAAGAAGGAATCAAGATACCCATAGCTCTGTCTTCTATTATATTGTAGCAAGCTTGCGTAAGTCCGATCCCATACTCCGATATACAGAGTCTCATCATCTGGACTAAGAGATACCCCTGATATCTCCCCAAAGAAATCAATCTCTTGCCGCTTCTTGTAATCTGCCTTGGTACTATAAAGATGGACAAAATCTGCCGGTTCAGCCACAACCAAAAACTGCCCATCGGATGAGAAACGTATTGATCGGACTGCACCCATATTTTTCTTTAGTGTCGCGATTGGCAATGACAGGTTTCTCAAATCCCATACCCGGCAGGTCTTGTCTTGATTTCCCGTTGCAAAGACAAATCCATCTGGGTGCCATGCAGAAGCAAACGAGTAGTCGAGATGACCCACAGCTGAGGCGACAGTCTGAAACATCAAAGAAGATTTCACACTTAAAACAGTATCACTATCTCCTTACTTGACAGAGCTTTTTATTTCTTGTTGTTCAGATCGGTAGAGCATGTTTTTTTGTTCTTCTCTTTTCATTCAACATTCTCTGATTTTCTGTAAAATCTCTAAATAAAAACTGCAGAATGATTACAGAAGGAACAACTGACAAAGTTTCAGATAATCAATTAACCTTGCAACTTTCTTAAGAGTATGCTCCTATTTGGACCAAATACTCGAGAAAGGTTTTGAAGTACTAAGAAATTACTATCATCAAATCTCTTGGGGGTAATTTTTCCACACAAGATAATCACATCAACATAACTGCTTACCTTTCCATTCCGGGAATCCACAAGCAAACTATCAAGGTGATCTCCAACAACAGTAAAGAGCTTGCGGTCAGGGCTCATTGATGTATGCTGCATCAGTTAGGGACATTTAGGTATAAGAACTTGCATCCAAAGGAATGATAAGAATGAAGCCTGATTCATACAACATTAACATAGGAACACATGGACAAATAAAACAAGTCTGATGCCCTAATGAAAGACATTGTGTAGTTATAAAGAGGGATCAGAGAAATAGTTGAATGTTTATAATCATTTTACACAGATCTTAAATATTCATGATAATGCTGATTACCCGATTTGCATGATTTTTTTGAATAATTTGGTGAAACAGTTTAGCAACTTAAAGCTTCATGCATAAAAAGTAAAATGGATAAAACACAATGCTAAATGTAATAGTAATTCAGAAATTTAACCCCACCCCCATTCCCTGGGGATGGAGGACAGATACATATCGAGAAACATGTGTATCGTTTTATGTGCAATGTGCAAGGTAACTAACATTCACTGGCCAAGGGAAGCGGAAGTGATTCATAAGCTGAAACCTCTCCATGTCATATTCTCTAACACCACAATCATTGTTGGATGCCATAAAATGGATTCCACCACTGCAAAAAAAAAACTCTCTAATTAGAATGTCTCTCAGAATAAACATATCTATTTCAAGAATAAAATACAACAATTAAACTACCTTATGCTGTCGTATACATCCAGAGCATTTGTTATTGCATTATCCTCGTAAGTAGTCCTGGTACAGAAGCTTACTCCTGGTTTATCCAACCGCTGCAATATTGAACAACATATATGAATTTCCCTATTGAGGAAACTGTCATAAGAGCATAATCATACTATGGACAAGATATACATATGATTGCTGAGTATATAGGCCACCAAGGAAAAGAATTGTTAAATGCCATTCTCCAAATGGTTCTAATCAAATCAGGTGAAATGAGTACACCCCAAAAAAAAAGATTCAAATGCCTTTGAATAGGCTTGGGAATTTGAACCTTCTTTTAATGAGGGCCGTAATGCAATTAGTTATGTTGAAAATCAAGATTTAGCTGTTATCAAGACTAATTCAAATTTCAAAATAGGTTACTTAAATAACAAAGATTAACTGAGCTAATGTAGCAAAGTTAATGGGGATAAGGAAAAATTGGGTTTGAATGGTAATGGTGTCCAAAAGAGATGCTTTAGTGATTTTTGGCTTGATTTGAAGTTAAAAAACGGGACCATTTGATAGCAGTGCAAACACAAGCAGTAGGCCTAACTTTTTACGGCAGATCAATGAAACGGACATAAGTTGTTATAAATCACTCAATGTGGTGAGTCAAAGTTTATACTCAGTAGATCACCACATCTCTAAGGAGTTGGCTACTCTGCTGGTTTTTGCTTCGAATTTCAGAGGCTCAAAGTGGAATGGCCCCTTTTACAGTAAACAATTTGAGTTATTATAAAAGATGCTATGTTCCAGCTCATATCCAAACCCCATCGACTACTGTGGGCAACCTGAATTCTGATTTTTTTACATGATTGATAAGCTATTAGAGCTAATCTCATCAGCTATGAATCACGGATACTTCGTCAATGTTGACGTATACGTATCAGATATGATACTCGTCGGATATTCGATGATACGTATTGAATACACACCAAACTTATCCAAAAAATAAATAAAATATATAGATACTTCGTGGATACTTCTATATTCATAGAAGTATGTGTATATTTTAGTTTTAATCTTTACCCATTCATTTCGATTTCACATATAATTCAACACATCAACAACAATCCATATGACTTTGAAGACACATGGATGTTTTCCAATAATTATTTACTATCACATGTTTAAAGAGTACAAATGAGATAATTACACTATAATTTTAACAACAAACACTTCTAAACAAACAATCTAGTTAAATGTTGGTTCTTATTCCTTTAATTAATTAAGTTCACTTTGTAGATGTACTATAGTGAGACAATATGTGGCTTTTTAAAAATAAAAAATTATTAATGTTGTTTATTATTGTTAAAAAATAAATAAAATTATAGTTATCAAGCCATTACATTACAGTACAAATATAAGATATATGTTTTTATAGATGGATCCTAGTTGTACTCGTATCCTATTTTTTGGAGTTTTTCCGTATTGAGGAAACATGGCTTATCGTAGATGGATGGGTTCCTTTTTTTTCTTCTATTTAGGAGGATGGGTTTTCGGGGGCTAGACATAAGGTTCCATCTAGTGTGTTTTCAGGTCATTGTCCCACCACACTTAGAGACTACTTCCGTTAGATGGGGTCCTAGTACTTCTATATTTGAGAACATGATTGGAACTTCATTCCTCCAAGGTCCATTTTTGAGATTGGTGAGGAGGGGAGGTTTCAAGGTTGGGAGGTTTTTATATTTATCAGAAGTTGGAATTTGTCAAATAAAAGTAAATAAAGGGGCATTTTGTCATTTCCTTGTTACATAAAGGTTAACTTCGGAGAAGAATTGAGGGACGTGATAAGTTGGAACAATATTGGGGATTAGACCAAAATTTGAGGAAAGAAAGGTGAAATCTTAGGAAAAATTAGAGGCAGCATTGTTCAAAGAAGTTAGTTGAAGGCAAAAGATAAAAGTGAAATGGATAAACAGAGACAATCCATCATAACTCTTCATAGAGTGGCAAATGGGAGAAGAAAAGGAAAACAATGTGAAGCTACATCATAGAAGTTCATAGTTTCATACCACTACAACTGGGGTAAAAACGAAAGGCTAATCAAGCAAAGGAACACTTGAAAACCCAAACTAGCAAATCTAACATGAAAAATATTAAAGCTAGAAAGCCCTTTGGATAACAAAAGAAAAAAAAAATTAAGGGCATTTGGGTAAGAAAAATAGTAACAGAAAAATTCAAGGCACAAGGAAGTATAAATTCAAAAGGTCCAAAGGTCCAAAATATTTGGAAACCTAAAGTTCAAATTACAAGTGCCTAGATTTGTGTACCAAACGTATGTGCCACATGCACAAGTACAGGTATATCTCTAATGATGCAGAGGATCGTGCAATCATGTCATTCATTGATTAACTCATTGTTTGCAAAGATTGGTACTTATAAGAAAAAGTTATGCATTGCCACAGACAATTAACAAACCTATGTATTAGAATCATTAGCAATATTATGACTCCTACCACAACCTATATTTTTGATTGCATATGAGTTCTGGACAGTTGCTTACTAAGGTGTTATTAATTGGGATACTATGAGAGTACATCCACATTAATCATCAATGGTCATATCCATTGTACACATATCCTTCATGTTTGACCAGTGGTATAAGTACATTGGCATATTTTAACACTTAAGTTTCATATTTATTGAACTAAGTACATGACCCTTGGTTGCCTAGGTTCTTTTGAAAAATCATAGAAATTAAGACCAAATGACCAAATCAACTCACAAGACTTAGAAACTGAGAAAATTGGATAATCTTGTTGTGTTCCAAGTAGATTAAGCCTAGTAAGCCAAATGTCAAATCTTTATAAGGTGTAATGTAAGGGATATTAAAAAAGAAGAGGACGTAGGGCTAAGCATGTTGGGAAATATCCAATAAATTTGAATTCACCTCTTCTAGATAAAGCACATCTAGTTCATACAAGTCTTGCATAGCCACTAGAGTTGATTTAATTGAACACTTCAGTTCTCCCTAAAAACAAATGGCTAAATGGAGTCCGAGGGTTCTAGTCATTGATTCAGAAGGACTTTGGAGAGCACACCTCTTGGTAGATGTACTCATGATCTTAAGGGATATATATAAAGACCAATATGGTGGTGAAGCATAACACGTTTGAATGCACTTAGAAAAAGGAAGTATAAGCGCGGTCGAACTACATATGGCATGCGGAATTAAAGGAATCAGATCCATTTCCCTATTCATAAATAAGAATAAAGATCCAATCAAGGAACTCTTGTTAACTCGATATCTGTCACCTTTGGAAGATGATTAATGCAGATTGGTCAGATTACTTTATCATCTATGTGGATGTCAGTGTTAAGCCCCTAGATTTTTAAGGACTCAACATAAGCCTCTAATATCTTCCCAGTTTTAGAGAGATTTCGCTAAGACCCTTGAATTTGAAATAGAAAGGTCCTAAGAAGCACACTTGAGCTACATGATGATGGAAGTGTTCTGAAAACTGTTACTGAATATTTGCAAACATTCCTTGTTGTTTCTCCATCCATGATGAGTCTTGAATACAAACTTAAAGTTGAGAGGTTGAGTAAAAATTGTGGAGCAATGACCCACCAACTAGTGGAATTCAAAAGAGAACTTGTTTCCACCAACCCACAAAAATGGATAATTGGTCAAGAAAGCTCGAATGAGGAACTTGAAAAATTGATCAGGTGTTGAGCCTTGACGTCTTTGCTTGGCCTTACGACGGTAGGGGTACTCTCGAGGATAATAATTGAAATTGACGAAGGCATAAAGCCTCACTTCTGGCTCTATCTCCACATTGATGAGGGAAGAGTACCAAATGTTCGTATGGCTTTTCTCATCCATCGTATACTTGAAAATAGGGAATTCAATATCCTGGTGGATAATATAATATATATTGTTAACCCAATCAGGAAGTTGAAATAGGTAACCGTACTTAAAGAGAGGAAAGGCAGGCCTTGTTTGATCCTTTGGATACCATACAAAGCACTTAATTAGCGACTATCTAGAATTCTCAGTATGCTCTAAGCTCATATGTATAGTTTCAAGTGCATAAATCATTATAGTTCATTGCATTGTAACTACTGTTAATTCCATTTGTTATCATTTCAAGTCGTGTCAGTTGATTTAGTATCAACCTGGCTACTTTGACTGTTTGACATGAAATACACCCATGACACAATTAGTATTTCTAAGTTTATAATGTATCATGGATGGCAACCGATTCACTTGGACTATCTGTGAAGATGGTAGAGTTTGGAAGACACCTGGGCTTGGACTTGGAATAGAAGATCTGTGGGGCTTGGACTTAGAATAGAAGATTTGTTTGTCTATACGTAGATCCCTATGTGTCTATTGCCAATTTGCCATATCTTACTGGTCATGGCATTTGTCCACTTACTTTAATTTTCTTTTCAACTGGATTCAGTAATGATAATTTCTGACATAAGGTGGGAGAACAGTATTTTATTGCTTCTTGTGATGTGAATAAAAGCTTACCAAGAGAAAGGATTAAGGGGAGCAGCCTCACAGACCTATCATTTTGGGAAATTGCTAGGTTAGATTAGATAGGTCATTCATTCAAGTTTAATGTAATGATTTATTTCTAATCTGGGAGATCATTGTAGTGAGGATTGCAAGTATTAGGGTACGAGCCAAAAAATTTGTGTTTTGTCCTGATGCCAAAGGGAAAAATAAATTGACGATTTAATGCCTTGTACCAGAGCTTGGACATGAGGAGATTAGAAAACATCCTTCGCTAAGCCAGTATGAGGCTCAGAAAATTGAAGTCTTCATTGAGGCTATCAAGAGACAAGATGATCTGCTGAGCTTTTCTCAGCAGACTTTTAACAATTTTTGGAAGATATCAAGAATCAAGAAATTAATGTCTAGAGTGATAATAAGATCATGATTTAGGATAGACACAGGCGCCTACTATAGACTAGCAAGTTCAAGACCAAAGAATAGTGGAAATTAATTGCAACCTATTCGACCGGCTCTGATCCAGTCGACTGCTCCCGCCAGATTTTTGAAAATTAGAACATTAACCAGACAGTTTGCTCAAATCTTTATCAATATTTGAATCCGTTTCTAATGGATAGCTTTGGATGGTTTGAATCACAATCCAAAACCTTTTAAACGCCCTACAAAAAGAGATACACATTCGCTAGGAATAACCCGCATCAAATGTGCTTCCCACAAAAGCTTATGCCACAAAAACATAGCTATAGGATCCTGAAGAAACAGGGGATCAAAACTTACATTACTTTCTTTACACAAAACACACCAAAAAGGGGAAAGGTAATTGTTGGGTCTTCTCTTTTTCAACAAGCCACAAATTTTCACCTCACCATGAGCAATCATTCAAGAAAGCACCTACACCTTAACAAACACTTTAGCCTTCCAAATCATCCAATGAGGTTCAAAAAGTACATCATTATTAACCTCAATCAAATATTGAAAATAGGAACCACAACTACCCAAGAGAAGTATCCAGAAGAATCAAAAGACCAAACTCTTTTATTACTAACCGTGGAATCCAAATGAACCAAATTAATCAAAGGAAGCAGAGATGCCAATTCCAATGTTTTCCGGTCATTGAGATTATGGAAAAAATTTGAAATTCCACCCCTCATGAGGAGAAAAAGTATAACTCAAACTTTTGACAAAAGCATTATGTGACTTCAATAACCTATTGTTAACCATAAATGTACTTTGAGCATGCAATACTGCTCTCCATCAATTCAATCAAAATTAGCAAAGAAGACTTTTTACCACAACGAAAAATAAAACTAAAAATGAGGAGAACATACAGAAGAAGAAAGAGTGTTTTCAATGTAAGTCTGAAAATGCAAATCCTCCCTTTCATTTGTGCACAGCAAAAGCTCATGCTTCTTCGCAATAAAAGAATCTGTAGTGTGCAGACACGTGCTTCATTGTAAAAAATTAGTAAAGCACCCATTCAAATTCGCCAGTACATGCTCAAGAATGGAAAACATGGAGAATAATATTTGAGTGCAACGTCCACTTGACGTGAGTTATGGCATGTGTTAGACAGTGGCATCAGCATGAACCACCAGTTCCGAGGGTTATCAGAGTTAATCTATATTTTACAGATGAAAATAAATGACACATAGGAAAGATAAAAACTAAAATTTAACAGTCCATAAGAGTATAGGACTGGCAAGGAGAGCAACTAGAGCATTGGGACACAAAAAAATGACAATATATGCAAACAAAATGACCCCAACAACTTATGTCACCAGTCACATAAAAAAGAATAGAAAGGGAAAAAGAAAAAATAAGAAAACTACCCATGCATCAACTCACCTTACAAGCAAGTTCTCCTTGGAACCCTCCTGCAACCAGAAAATTATCCTGGACAGCTAGAGAGCTGATCTGAGTTTGTGTGAAACCTTCTAACAAGCTCCCTGCATGTTTCTAGTATTACAAGCAAAAGAGAACATCCATGAGACATAATATGAGATAAAAAAAGGATCCATTGTTCCCTAGCTAAGGAACAAACTCAGGAGGGACACACACTTATTCTTTCTCTCCGTCTCTCTCCCACCCCCATCCCACCACAGCCCAAAATAAGGAAAAAATTCCTCAGCAAGTGCAAGTATGATAAATTTCATACAAGAGCTACTCAAATACCTCAGTAGGTGCTATATGTCCAGAAAAGTTGAGGACCTCCGATAAGTTGTGAGTTATTGATGACCAGTGCATTACTGAATAATTAGACATGAGATACACATCGTGCTTGGATGTAGCCCATACCAAGTTCCTGAGCTGCATATAAGATGCATGGGACAAGGTCATTTTGGCTGTAAAACGTACCATATATCTAATCTGCCATAGCAGCAATTGAATAAAAATAATTTTGATGCTTAAGGAGTCAAAAACAAAGGATGGAAAATATTATCTACGAAATAAAATAAACAAGTAAAATGATACACAAGTTTATGCAGTCATTAGAAAAAACCTTAAGGCACATCACCCTTCAGCAGATTATGAAACCAAAGTCATTGTTATCAAAGGAAAACAGAATCAGAAACATCCTCGTTGAAGAAAAAAAATACATCTTTTCATGTCACTCAACTGGGGTTTTTTTGTTTAAAAAAAGAGGGGGGTGGGGAAAGAGAGTGTGTTGGAGCTGATTCGGCAAAGTGGAAAGTCAGTATAGGTGCTTCAACAAAACCATAGAGACCCTAAGCACCATTGCTGCAATTGTGGCATTAGAAATGGTTGAAAATGTTTCAAAAAATCCCAACATCACAGTAATGAAGAATTAGGGTTCTCGATTGCAGCAAAAATAACAATTTACGGTAGAAAACAGGCAAAATAGTTATAGTGACAATGAAAGGCTTTTTGTGCGAGCCATTTAAATGGATTTATTTTTTACCCAACAGGTCATTACCCAATTGGGTAAGACAATATCACTGGTCATGTCTTTCCTTGGTTACCTCAATTAAGAAATAACAAACTAAATAAAAATCCTTTGCTCCAAATGCAGAGCAGCCATGATCTTTATCTACTTCAGCACACCTAAAGAATAAATGCTGCCTAACAATAAAAAGGAAAACAAAGATATGCAGCATAGGTTCTATGCAATTTGGAACTCTTGCAGCAATAACTCCAACATTCTAACCCTCATAGAAAACTAGTTTCAACCTTTCATCGAAACCTAAAATAAGGCAAGCATAAAAATACAACACTAAACAGCTATAATAGTGACCAGTGTCGGCAGAGTAACTCGCTACAGATCCACTGCTGTAGATTGGACAATTAAGTATGCTTTAACTAAAGGACTCCAAATAAATATACCACCTGAATTCATGCTAACACTTTTTTGTCAGCCAAAATTATTTTCTTCTTTGAGAGGAGACAGTAAAAAATCATAAACCAAAAAAAGAAAAGAAAAGAGTGGAGATGGAAGTTTGGTTTTAGGCTTCCTATGATGATAGCTCTTCCAAAACCATGTTTCTACTGCATCATGAAAAACAGAATTTTAAGTGTCATTTGACAAACATTTCAGGCATTTTCAAAAACTTCCACAAATTTTTTTTATTGCAACAAAAAAATAGCCTGAAAAAAGAGCTCTAGACCATATACAAGTAGATTGTTATTGGACAAACCCAATGAAATTCCTTTTTAAATTTACTGCCTTAAGGCTTAAACTTGAAGACCCTAAATACTACCAAGGTTTTTAAAATCGGGATCGTGGGATTGGATCAAGAATCGTAAGATTTTATGAACTAAAAAAATGAGATAAAAAAATTTTTGAAAACTCTAAAAGCAAGAATTAAACAAGTCAAATATATATGAAAATAGAAATGCAATGACAAACCAAAAGCTTAGAGATATGATTATAATTTGAGAAACTACAATCTAAGCATTAAAGAGGGTTGACATTCAAAGGCAGCCGTTAATCTTGTAGGATTTTGCGAATTGAGAAATGAAGTATTTTGATCAACCAAAAGACAAACGAATGAAGAAAACTTTCTCATCCACCAAAATTCGTCAATAGATTCACAATTATACAAGACAATCACATGCGTATTGAGTCTTTAATTATTAAAGCAATAATATGGACTTGGTAGCTCAATAGCTAAATGCTCCTAACAAACAAACCCAAAATTTAGATCGGTAATTAGAGATTTTACACAAGACTCAGACCGATTTTCTTGTACCGGTCCTACAGTCGTTATTTCGAGAACCATGCTAAATATGGGAACTAGAGAAACCCCAAGCATCCCATTATGGGATCACACTCCCTAAAACGAGGTGAGTTCGCAATCCAGATCGTCAACAACTCCAAATGTAACTCAAACCCCAAATTGACACACGATCTAGATAATATCAAATTATAACCTGAATCAAAATCGTCCTCCTAAGTACTTATTTCTTTATTTTGGTGATTTCTAAACTTATCTTTCAATTTGTTATGCTATGGTTTGAATTTTTAACTTATATTTATATGCAACCACTAACTTTTATAATTCACATCCATTAATAGGCATTAATATGTGTGCTGTCATGGGTTATGATTCGCCTTGGAAATCTTACCACAAGTATAAAATAAATAGAAGTTAACTAATGAAGTTATATCATTTCCTATAATAGTGCATGAGATCTGGATCAACCGATCAATTAAATATACCCTTCGCACCTGAATATTAGAAAAAATATGTAACTGCATACTTGTACCATATTGACCCACATTCCATGTAACATTGCTTGAAGCCTTAAACTAACATAACTTCATTGCAGTTAAAGGTATGAAAAGGGAAAGGCCAAATAAGAACATCTAAACATACAACCCACCAAACGATATTAATTTGAGGTTTACACATTCAGTCATTTTCTATATTCTTAGTGAATTTTAAATGGCATTACACCATCAATCACAAAAGATGGTACCAAATATGAAGGTTAACGCCCTAAATCACATAGAGCGGGAGCGCAAAAACGAAAATGAAAAATTTCAAAAAAATTTGAGAGCGGGTGCGCCACTTAAAGCGTCTAAAAGAGATATAAAATTATTTATTATTGGTAAAGAAATAAGATTATTTACAATGTAACTTCATAGTGGTTTTTTTTTTTTTTTGAACTCAGCTTAACAATATTGAATGGCATTAGTTTTATGGGTAGGCAAATCTCCTTTCAGGCTAGTTATTGAATCCCACATCTGTAGTGTTTGAAAAATTTCAAAGGGGAGACTTCTATAAGTAAAATCTCCTTTGGTGGCTATTTTGTGAATCCCACATCGGTTGTGTTGGAGAAATTTCACTGAGGAGAGTTCTATAAGTAGGACATCTAGGTCAATCTCCTTTGCAGGCTGATTGTTGGGCCTCTGTGTTTAGAGGCCTATGATAGTGGAAAAGTTTGATATTTTGCTTGGGCCTAGGTCCAAATCATTGATGAGTTCAATTTTTTTTTTTTAAATTACGGAATCACGTTTGAAGATTCTTAGAACGTGGATTGCAGCTATGTAATTCGCAAGTACCTGAAAATCCACTTTCAAATTCAATTTTTTGAATTCGCGATTTTATACAGAATCCACTTTGAATCCACAAATTGGCGTTTTGAGCGCTAATTCGTTGGGGTAAAGTGACGAATTATGTGATCTACCTAACGCCACTGATTTATGAAACAAAAATAAATACCCCAAGTCAGAAACATATTAGACACAAACTATGATGTTAGAATAGATTATGAGGACCTCAAGCACAACACTCAAAGCACTTGGTAAGGAAGTGCACCGAAAGGCCCCTACAAGGGGATATACTCACAAGAAGTACCACAACCACATGTACCAACTGTCACTTAGCTACATATGAAATACTCAAAGGAAAAAGCTAGATTATCTTCGTAAAATGTAATGGGAAGAAAAGATAAATACAGACTTACAAAAAAGCACAAACCTGAAAATGAAGGATTGTGGGTTTCACTAATCTTGAATTGTAAAAAAACTCGTAGTAATTTCCACCCTTCTCCATTTGCTTGCATTCCTACTTGGATTAATTACAATCATCAAAGAAAGATAATTCCAATTTGCAAATGACACTGATAAAAGAAAAAAGACATGAAAAGAAAAATTAAGCTAGAGACAGACCTTATCTACAGCTTCACCAGATAGAGGTATATTCTCATAATTCCTGTACTGTTCAACCCTTGTTAATCTGTAACTTTCTCTTGTTATATTCAATCTTTCCCAAGGAATCCCCTGGATATCTTTGCCTTTTTTTGCTTGGCAAGAGGATGTATCCGTCACCTTCGTCAGCTACCCACATGTCAAAAAACATTAAAATTTTGTACGGAAACATATAACTATAGGAAGCAAACTAGTAATTAAGTACACCATAAGCTAGAACATGAGTTAATTCAATATTGCAACTAAAGAAGGATAGGTGGAAAATAGCATAACTAACCATATCATAATCATCAAGGCCCGCATCTTCACCACCTCCACCATAATATTCCTCATCCATATCATCCACGAAATCTGACACATTACCGTCGTCGGCCATTTAATTAAACAGGTCAACCCTTTGGTGTGACATACTTTACCCTTGCATCAAACTATAGCCCTTCATTAGTATTGATTTCTCCAAAACCCAAACCAACAATTTTCTTGAAAAACTGAGAAGAATCTATGGTCAATAAGAAATAATTAAACTGAAAAACGAAAAAAAAAAAACATGTATCATTAAATAACTGCATGATTGGCAAAAAAAAACCAAAAGATAAGAATCCTCAGAACTGCCAATAAAGGATTCTGGAAAAACCCACAGTACATATATTTTATCGATATTATTTAAAAGATAAAAAAGAAAAATCACAGCGTTCAACATATTCTGTGTGAAAAATTTAGCTATGAACATGCTAAACCCAGAAAGAGAGCAACCCAGATCATTCACCGAAAAAAAACTTAAATAAAAAATGATATCTTCCTGCAAGTATATAGATATGCACTTTATGGGAAATTATTTGCTTCAGAAAAATTATAAAAAATATTTCTTTCTGCAAAATAAAAAAAAATCAAAAAACTAAGAACAGCAAGTTAGGCAAAAGGGAAAAGAAAAAAAAAAGGTCTGTCCGCATGCTTATTTGGAATGAGAGGAAGAGGGAGAGGGAGAGAAAACCTATTACCTGAGAAACGGAGGATCTCTTATTAGGTGTAGAGGACCATGAGTTTCAGTTTTGTAAGCGGATTGAGTCGCTGCCTCTGTTGAATCCTTCGGTGGATGGTGTGATTTGCACCTTCTTTTGTTTGTTTGTCCACAATTGAACCGTCTATTATATAGAAACGAAAAAATTGTAGGTTAAGGGAAAGGAGGAGAGAGGAGAGAGGAGAGAGGAGAGAGGAGAGAGGAGAGAGGATTGGACACGCATATGTTTCTATTGGTAAAGTTTTTGTTTATGTACAAGTCACGTGGCTTCTAAATGGTTGTAATTATCTATCACATTTTTATATAGTTCTAATATGTCATGTTCCCTTTTGCGTGAAGTGAAACTATCCTGTAATTATAAGACAGCTTTTATTTGATACATGAATAATTATAGTTTACAAACTTTCCAAAGGAAAGTTTTACACACACATGTTTGGTATCACTTAAAAAAAAGTCACTTCCCCGATACCTCCCTACCAGTCCCGATTCCTCTCTATCAGATGATTCATGTAGCCACTTTCTCTCTCGACGTCGGTGCTGATACTTTAATTTTGATGCCGACGCCAACGCCGACAATGTAGTCTCTCATTTCGCCAACACTACCTTCTCTCTCGCCAATGACGCCGGAGTTGTATTCTCTCTCATCGATCTTTGTTGTATGCTTGTCTAACAAAATCCCTTCAAACAAGGTACAATATCTTCTTAACTAATTTTATATTATCTGTTGCAACAATTTGTTTATAATTTGTTGTGGGTAGATGTATTTTGGTTTGTGATTTTTTTTTTTTTGATGATGAAATTTCTAGAGATCTTAGAAAAATTTTGGGGAAACTATTTTTTATTTTTTTGATCCATGATTACTATGAAAATCACTATATTATTTTACTTTCATAATTCATTGCTCTTTCTCACATATAATTTTTAGCAAAACTGGACAGTTTGATAGAATGCCCACCAACTGTTTGATAAAATGACTTACATGTGGTCTGGATTTTTTTTTATGCTTGGGGCTGTTAGTTTTCTTGTGTTGCAATGAATTGTAAATATAGGAATATATTATCTCTGTTCTGAATGATGTAATCTATGTAGATTAAACCTCTGGTGCAATGAATTGTTTTGGGTGACTATGTGTGGAAGACTAGGTGGAAGACCAAGACTATGAAATTATGATCTCTTGAAGTAACTTTTATGACCTTTCCGTCCGAATTACTCGAATTGCTTGAGGTTCTAGAACTTTTAGTGAATGAAAAAATGGATTAAAAAGAATAAGAACCAAAATGCAGGGGAAAGTTAGCCCTTTGAAGATGTAAAAGAGTGACTGTGATGGAAAATTGCAGATGTTGAACATGCAACGTGTGTTTTGAATTTTGACAAAATTGACTGCTGCGTTCTACTCTGATTTTTTAATATTCAATGGTCATTTGGTCAAGTGTCTTCTTCAACCTTCATGTGTTAGCAAAGCCCACTGGCATAATAGTTCCATCTAGATAAACACTTCCATCATCGAACAAGCATGGCTTTGTTGCAGCCCTGGCCAAGAGAGTATAGAAAGAGAGAAACAAAACAATACTAAAAGCCAACCTGTTTTAGGAGACAATGAACTGTATGTGGCTATGTTGGTCTTGCCTCTAAGCCTTGTGGATTCAAGTATTCTTTACCATCATGTAGATCTAACTTCAGCACCACTTTCTGCAACAATAAAGCCCAATAACAATATGTGTCAAGTCAAGAGAAGCTAACTATATTTTTAATCACTATTGGTCACAATGAGCGAAATAGAATGATGCAAGAGTGATTTCAACATTCTAGGGAGACAATAAGTCGACATTTCAACGATGTTTTATTAGGGATGACCAAGCTTTCAATGGAAATTATCAAGCCTCATCAAAATTTCAATTGCATCCCTCAAGAGATCAGATTGAATCCTAAATACTATCCATATTTCAAAGATTGTATTGGGGCAATTGATGGTACACATGTTAGTGCTCATGTTCCTACTTCAAAACAAATTCCTTTTAGAGGTAGGAAGATAGTGTGCATGCAGACTATCTTGGCAGCATGTTCTTTTAACATGGTTTTCACATTTGTCAATGCTGGGTGGGAAGGAATGGCTCATGGCTCTATAGTGCTATTACATTGTATTCGTAACAGGCATTTAAACTTTCCAAAACCACCTCCAAGTATGAGTAAAGAATGCGTTGATAAATTTTTTTTGCATTCTTAACTACATAGAATATCTAATGATTTTGTTGTTTTTTTAGGAAAATATTATGTGGTAGATGCTGGCTTCCCTAATGTGGATGGTTATCTTACTCCTTATAAGGAAACGAGATATCATCTACCTGAATTTCATAGAGGGAGAAGACCTCATGGGAAGAAGGAGTTGTTCAATCATGCACATTCTTCATTAAGGAATGTGATTGAACGATGTTTTGGAGTATTAAAGAAAAGATTTCCAATTTTACAGCAAATGCCTAGTTTTGATTTCACTAAATAAATGTTTATTGTTGTTGCTTGCAATGACTTGCCACAATTACATAAAGCTGCACGGCATCAGAGATGTATTATTTGCAAGGTATGCTAATGAAGACGTGGAGTTAGAGGAGGAAGACAATGTAAACCAAACTGCTTTTGAAGAGGATATTGATTTGTCAGATACAAATCCAATGTATAGGAAGAGAGAACGCATTGCTTCAGCAATGCTAAGGGACAATCAAGCATGATTTTTGATTGTATTTACTATTAACTTGTGTTTTGTGACTTTAGTATGTCATTTGGATAGTTGGATTATGTAGTTTTTTCGTATGATACATTTATTAATATGATATTTCTGTGTATAATTTTTTTTTGTGTATTATTATGTGTAGTATACATTTGTATATGTGTATTCAATATTATTAACAATTGGGATACAAATAAGTGTTTTCACATCCAAACGTACTTTTTATAAAATACATTAATTTAAATATTTTAAATTTTGAGTATCCAAAAAATACTTATTTAATAAAAGTGTTTTTTTTATAAACACTTTTGATAAACATTTATTAAAAAAGTACTTTTTGGATTTCATAAGTCATCCCAAACACACCCTTAGACACTTAAATTAAATATTTAAATTAAACTTTGAACGGAGCCTGAAATTAAAAACACTTAGCTAGAGTCTAAGAGTTCACTGGGCTCCAAGGAGTTGATGTTTATTACAATGTCGGTCGCCCTTTTTCACAGAAGTTGAACTTGAACTAGATCTGAAAATTGAGAGTCAAATTTCAAAGAAAATTACTTTTGTGATACCTATATGAACCATGCTGAAGACGCTACAAATGCTGTCATGTAGTTCATGAGATGTTTGTGTAAGACATTTCTTTTTCTACTGAACCTTATCATTGAACTCTTTATCTCTTTATTGCATTTTCGAGATTTTGGTATTCTACGTCATCAAAGGCGCCATTGCTCATGTTGTCTCCTACAAGTTTGTGGATGCTTTTTTCAAGAGCTTATACGACCATTTGCAATGGCGTAAAATAAATGGGTGTGCTGAGTTGATTATAGAATGCACAATTGAATTATAGTCCTTTTAGTTTCTTCTAATAAATAACCTTGGTTGATGGTCACGATGCTTCTTAAGAATTTTATTTCTTATTTTCTTCTAGTCCCATTAATTGTGTTACTTCCTATGGACACATTTGTGATTTTGTTAGGTTTATTTGGATTTTTTTGAACATCATTATCGTTCAAAAGTAGGTTAAGATCATCTCGTCAAGAATATTCAGAGACTAATCTGAATGAATAAACTTGTGAAGGATTATTCTTCCTTATGTCATTCTACCCATGCAATGCAGATTTTGATAGCGATATATTTATTTTTGCAATTCCTTAATTTATCACAAGACCTGATATGCATTCTGAAGATACTTCTAGCTAATGGGAAGAGTGAGAGCTGACAAGCATGTATTGCTTAAAAGAAACAGAAAAGAAAACTTGTGAGGTCAAATTATAAATTTTACAATAATAACATAACGTGTTGATTAGTAAATTTCACAGAGATGGTGAGGTAATAAAAGAATGTGAGATATACAAATAAGAGCTATAGGCTACGGCCTGCTTAAGTTCTACTAATTTATACACAATTCAATAGTTTCTCAAGCTAGGTTTTCTCTCTTGGCTAATTCTTGTTAATTGAAAGGAGCTTGTTAAACAATACCTTTGGCTACACTTCTTCCACCAAATTCTCTTGAGGAGTAGGTGGACTTGTACTCTCAAAATTTTCAATTGAAGCATGAAAGGTGGTTATCATTTTCTAGTGATAAACTAACTTGTGTGATAGCTTAAGCATGTAGGTATGCATTAGTTACTGGATT